AATGCCACATCCTAAACTGTTTATCTCGTGAGCAAGGTCGTTCACATATATTGAAAACAACGTCGGCGACAACCCACACCCCTGACGAACGCCGGAGGTTACAGAGAAAATGTCTGTGTATTCATCGTTAATACGGACCCGGGCCGAGGTACTGTCATACATCGACTGAACTGCGTGTAAGAATTTCCCGTTAATGCCAAGCTGCAGTAGTTTATACCAAAGACAGTGTCTGTTTACCTTATCAAAAGCCTTCATAGCATCAATATATGAACACAATATAGAAAACCCATGCATCGGAAACGAACGCTAAAAGTGGCACAAAGTGTCGAGGGCCAAGTTGCAATCCCAGCATATTTGATCAAAGTCATATAAATATAACTTTATTTGACCTTAAACTTGAATTTAACCAGTTTAACATTTAATAATCAGCTGCAAAGAGACAATGTTACAGTACGATGACTTGGTTAACGCGTCATCGTATCCCCCAATCGATGTTCATGTTGTTGATCGTACGATTGTCTGGTCCAGACTCGATTACTTTCAGACCGTCGCCATATATAGCTGGAATATTGCTAAATGCGGTGTTAAGGGACCGTTAATAATTTATGACTTTGGGGGGGTGGGGGTTGGGTGTGATGATGATTTTTATGGAGAAGCATGTACAATGTGACCCCCCCCTAAAATTTATGTACAAAGTAAGTGACCCCCCTGCATGTCATGTACAAAATCGCCATATATATATAAATGAACTAAATCTATTGCTTCCTTAAGATTACATGATATAGCAACCCAAAACATGCCATGCAGAGATTTCTAATTCTAAAGGTACCACTTATGGCATAGTGAAAACTGAAAATATATTCAAAATATTTTCAAATGCTCTTCACATCATCGCATGATCGTCGAGAAGGGTAGATATTATAATATTCCCCGAGAATTGAGGATGACTGCCACATTTTTCTATGGAGAAGCATGTACAATGTGACTCTCCTCCCCGTAAATTTTATGTACAAAGTAAGTGACCCCTGCATGTCATGTACAAAATCAATGACCCCTCCCCTTCCCATATTTTGTACGCCTAATTTTTAAATATTTTTATGTACAAAGTTGATGACCCCCTAGAACATCTGTACAAAATTGATGACCCCACTACCTTCCCAGAACAACATAGGTGACCCCCCTTTAAATAAATCATCATCACCCCAGCCATAAATTATGAACGGTCCCTAAACAACAAACAATCTGGATGCAGTGCGTCAGTGTCCAGATTGGATTAGATACTTGGAAGGATTTCCGGCCCTTAATTGATCCAGCTGGAGAGATAGACTGACACTATTTCATTTGCTCTGCGTCATCGACAACCATGACACCCTCGATCAACACAGATGATACATATCTATGAACATAACATGAACAATCTCTTCAAAAACAGATCTTGCATCTCCTACCACTAAATAAAATCTGAGGACATCACATTAGGGGTTAAGTCAGCACGACCTTCCACCCTACCACTCCCCCGAGCTTTCTCATAAAATAAATGTGATATACAGGTATTAAATTTGCATTGAATTTATGTTATTTCATGTTAATGCTTCCATTCGAATCCGACAAACATCTAAAACATATTACCGATGCTGGTATGTAACTTGCATCTTGGAATCCAGTGATAACGTGATAGTCCGATTTCGCATTTCTCTAAACCGTGTTTAGTGTGTCACTGGGAGAAATCCTCGAACGATCAGACCTGTCATACCTTCGAACAACCACAGTAACCGTGAGGAGATCCCGGCCAGCAACCAACCATGACCAGGGAACATACCTGTCCAGCACTTGGGACTAAATGTAATAATAATAATCTATGCTGGCTTCCATGTCTTCATTATCACCAATCGACCGCCTCCGTGGTGTAGTGGTTAGAGCCTTCGCCCGGAAGGTCGCGGGTTCGATCCCCGACCGCGTCATACCAAAAGACGTTAAAATATGGCATTAATGGGTACAAGAAGGACTGGTGGGCTCGGAGTCAGTATAATGTGTCTGAGTGGGGTATTCATGCTTCACAGCGGCATGGTATCTCAGTGGGCTAGCACTATATAAAACAGCTGAAGTCTGGGCTAGTACAAGCAGCCGCACATACACATACACACGCATGCACGTCGTCATATGAGCGAAATATTCTCAAGCACGACGTTAAACCCAATTTCACGTCACCTCACCTCATTATCACCAATCAGTGCTATTATCCACCACCCCACCCCCACATTACGTAGAGGGTAATGTCCGAGTAACTCTCCATTCCTTAAAAATAATGGAGCCGAGGCACATTATTTTTAAGGAATGGAGAGTTACGAGGATATTACCCTACTTAAATTACATTCGAAGTATTGGGAATATTTCTGTTATCAAAATTAAATGTCAAAATGACAAAATGAAGGTTTTATTTTGAAACTGGTACACATCGCTCCATTCCTGAAAAGTAATGGAGCGAACAGACAATGGAATGACGTCACAAATGTAATTTAACTATCAGTGATTGATTAGACTATTTACTCCTGGATAGATAGTCTTTATTTCCTCCACAATTGGAGATTACAAGGGTACAGTTTAAATGGTTATGACAGGTTTAATGTACAGGTGATAGACAAGAGATTACACAAATAGATGTTTGCATTTATAAATAATATCAGCAGCCAGGAACATTATGTTGCACCAGATATCAAAATCAATGTCAGCAGCACATTCTGGAAGACCACCAAGTAGAAATGTAATCATAACGTCATCATCGTTTGCCCACAAGTTGACAAAGCAATCTACATCGAGTATGTCAATGACACTTTCAAACAGTTCATTTCTTTCTTTCATATTCATACGGCAAGATATGAACACATGCTTAATGATATCATGAGCAACTGTACCTCAACAGCATTCTTTTGATTGAAGTCTTCTTGATGCAAGTGAGACAATACGCGACAGCTGTTTAAATTTACATGGATAAAGTTGACATAACAGCCACAGTTTATTATGTTCAACAGATCTGATAGAGACATATCTTGATAGGTCGATTCGTCTCATCATACGGCTGGTAAGGAGGGACATATCCATGCAGTGCACTTGCTCCAACACAGTACCAGTCCACTTGGATTTATTGAGTACATTGCCATTAACAACATATTCAGCAAAGTCATTGAAAAGATTGTACTTTTCAACCAGTCTGAACATATTAAAGCATGGTGAATAAAAACATCTTTTTGCGCTCATAGACTCACATTTGAATTGCGCGAGTCTGCCAATAAACACATGTTTAAAATAGTAGCAGCAACTTACTCTACAAAGTTTACCCATAAAAAGCAGGGATTGAGAGTCAATATGGGATTGTATACTGATAAGCTTTAAGCTGTCCAGTACAACTTCATTTGGGGTTTGCTTGGGTAGACCTTGAACTTTTTTGCTGAAATATCTTTGGGGTATTTCCAGCATTTCATATTCTTTTGGTGATAATTGACCCCAGGCATTACAACCATATAGTGCAGAGGGTAATATTACGCGTCGAAATACTCGTACAGCAGCCAGCGGATTTAAGCCTGCTGATTGCTAATCAGCGCCAACTAACTACTGGCTTCCATTGTGTAGTGCCCACCATTGTTATCTTATTACTGGCGTTGTTCACATGTAGGTATCTTCTTGATCACTTGATGATGAAAGAGGAATGATATACTCCGAAACGTCGTGTTCCCCGTAAGAAAGAAGCTGGCATTGTGCAGCGCAATAGTGCAGTGGTAAGGCATCTGCCTATCACGCTGACGGCCCGGGTTCGATCCCGGTGGAAGCACCTAGGTTCGGGTCCCAAGGTGGGCAAATTTGCGAAGTATCCTTGGACAATCCACTTTGTTTCAGTTCACCCAGCTGTAAAATGGGTACCCGTGAGGATCTGCTGGCAATGTGAGTGTTTAGTTCATTGCGCCTAACAGGCAGCATGTCTGTATGATCGCCAGGGAGTTGCAAAAGTATGGGAGAGTACGATATATAGTGTCCTATAACCGGGGATAGTCATGTAATGTACGTAGCGCCGTGAGCAGGCAATGTGCCTGGATATGAGCGCCATATAAGCGGACTATTACTATTACTATTACATCCATACATGTTCCCTTTTTATGTGAATCGCTTCAAAATGCCGCTCAAAGACTAAACGACGATAACCGACATTTTACCATCGCTTCAATCACTTGCTGTGACAACTAATCTCACTACGATCACATAACACCTGTCTGTGATTGCAATTTGCAAGTTGGTTATTGACCTATCTGCCAACACCCGGGCAATTAATCAGTTTATAGAGCAACGGGCAGATGCAGAAATCGCTCGTTCCAAAATCGTTTAAGAATCTTATTCATCCAACCACTGTGTTTGTTCTTAACTGAATGTGATACATTGTACATAACTAATTTGACGCTTTGTAACTGGTTAGCTCAATGGCAGCTGCAGATTAGATTAAAAGCTTTGATATTCGCAAAGTCATCACATTGGCAAAACTTTAGTGGTGTTTTTTCTCCAATCCTATCTAGAGGTCGGGCATGGAAGATTGACACATTGTTTTTCCTTATGAAGTATACTTAGGAAATAATAGTTTTTTATAAGACAGAGGATGCATAAAAACATTATGCAATTATGCATGTATTTGGAGGACAAAGGTTTCATGAGATGGAAGTGGCACCAGAATTGTGGGTAGGGAACAGCACAATATGATATTAAAACCTGTCTGACAACCGTCACCCACAATAAATGACGAATCGTTAAAAAGGGTGCACGATGTTTTCACATTTGAATTTTCTATACAGTCGTGTTTGTACCTTGGAGTACCTGTCCTATACCAGACAGTTGTAAGGTCAGCCAAACATTATACACAACAGAGAACTACATACATCATGGTAACCGTTATAAGGGAGGTAACTCTGAATGCGCACCTGCCAGGTGGCGCTAAACCGGAATTAGTTAATGATGGCGGAGAGGTGAAGGTCGGTAAGATGAATCAAATATTGAAATGCATGAATAACTGACACTGTCTCCACTGGCGATTAGTGAAAGGAAAATGTGATAATGTGTGGATCGCGTGAGATCTTGAATGGAAATACGTCATAAGAGTGCGCCAAGTGTAAGTATAGACATGAAGGCAGATCACACTGAACAAAGCGTTTGACAATCGCTCTTACGAAAACTGACCGGTAGCCTACATGTTGCTAATGTTCGTCATCAGTGTAACTTAGTAATGGTATGGGTTGGGCCCTTGTGTCTGGACGGCATTGTGGCCGGTGCGGACACGTGTTGAGCCTTCTATCTTTCTGATACAAACATACCAAAATGGACCAAAATGACCTGAGAGTAGAAAAAATATCATCTTTTTCACTGTAAATTGTCGTCTTCAAATACATAACTGTGTTGATTTTGCATTTTTAAAAGTCTTTTTGAGCTGGGCCAAGACGTCTGAGTTTCAGTGAATTTTCATTGAATTTTTATGAAAAATATGTCATTCCTTACTGATGATAGTATCAGCCCGTGGCGTATATTTTCAATAGATTTGACAAATGTTTGTATTCAACAAGTCTGTCATAATCGACATATGACATGCCATGTTTAGGGAATTCAATATATCTCATGATACTTATACTCCCAACAAGGTCGCCTTGTGATATTTGATTTCTATATCTATATCATTTGCAATTGATCAGTCAGTAATTTTTCTTAACACCTGGCATCAAACAATTTAAGAAACTGTATAGGAATGTATCAATTGGTGGTTTTGGTTATTCTGGTGTTCTAATTTAATGTTCAGATGGTAAGGAATGTTCGATTCAGATGGTTGGAAGTTTCATTTTTGAATATTCTGAATCCTTATTTCAGAGTGCAGATACTGCCATACAAAGTACTTTATCCAGAGACTGTATTCAGCTTTCTTTCCAAACAAGTTGTGTTTCAGGTAGCCATAAACATGATAAAGGAAACCTGCCCTGCTTGCATATTTAATAACTGACATAATTAATTACAAAAAACCTAACATGCCATTATTATAAGAGGGTATAAGCAAAAGTTGTGAGTTTTGTCAGTTGCTATGTTAACTCAGAAATATTTTAATGTTCATGGATAAAATTTTGTGTTCCTCTATCATCAGGAATTTATTTTAAATGAAAGTATGCTGTTGGGTTATATATATTTAAGTAGTATATTTTCTAACTTCATTAAACCTGTTGACACTATCACTTATAGTTAAATATTATCCAAGCTTTGGATACAGGAAGTCTTTTAATGAATGTTTTTCATTTTTCTCTGCTGCATTTTTACTAGTAAAACAGTAATCTGCTAGGTAAAGGCACAGTCAAACTTATGGCTGCAGGACAAGATAACCAACAAGAAGAGTGTTTGTGTTAGGAGAGAATCTTGAGCTAATTGTCAGGTCTTTGTTTATTATGATCTGTGTCAATCAATCAGCCCAAACTTTGATGTGAGTGTGCGATGTTTCAAACAAATAGACTACAGCATGGGGACATGTTGGGAGACATCGCACATTGACAGTGGTTATGGCAATTGATTTGTGTTTTATATATATGTGTGAGTGTGTTGTGTGTGTGGATGTTTCAAACAAATAGACTACAGCATGGGGACATGTTGGGAGACATCCCACATTGACAGTGGTTATGGCAATTGATTTGTGTTTTATATATATATATATATATGTGAGTGTGTTGTGTGTGTGGATGTTTCAGGTGGTTTATGCAGCCTTTTTAGTGATAATATTCTAAATGTTTGTAAAAGTTCAGTATTGCTTATGACATCAGAGGCAATTTAGTTCAGCACACACAATAATTCAAGAAATGGAAAAATACTTGCCATGGTGAATATGAACTTGATGTTTAATTTGTTTTTATTTTTTGTGCTTAGGAAAAGGTGAAGTTGTGACATGTACTGGGCCCTTATTCTTAAAAAGTTTGTAGCCCTAAGAATTCTTAACTTTGATCGTAGCCAATTTGTTAAGAATGGGCTTAAGAAGTTTGTAGGGCTACGAACTTTTCGAGAATAGCTAGCCAGGTTTTGATCTTTGTTTTTGTTAAAGGATAGGCTTTTTAGTGTCCTAAAGAGAAGTGTGGATATGGAATTATTATTGTCTGTTATATTTAATAAGCCTGCAGCCTCCGACATAATACCAGTCTTGATAATCTTGGAGTGAAGATCTAACAACAGAAGGACACTACCATCCTCACACAACTTAAATTCATATTCAGCAGAATATCTAGGATCTTCAGATGTATGTAGCCAATATTAAGTAGCCCAATGTATGGCTTTGTCATGTCAAAACTTGCAGTATTTTAGACCAGGTTCCTATTGTGTAGGTAAGGTAATATTTACAGTGCTTTTTTACAACGTCAAGATGTTCAAGCATCACAATGCTTTGAAAATATAAATGCTGAGAACAGAGCATGTAACTGTAACAATTGTCTATCGGGTGAGTCACCCAACATAAGCCTATTCATGACGCACATGGTTAAAGTAGCTAAACTAAACCACTGCTTACGTTTAGACCTGGAGACATGTACAAGCATATTAGATGTGTTGATCTTGTAGATAAAGGCTAACATAATAATCATTCTGCTTTCCTTGATCCTGGGGACAGTGGTCAGTGTGTCAGCAGCACAGGGTTGTTGGTTTCGTGTCTCCTTCAACTTCAATACAGGTCTCTTGTTACAGACCTGAGAGGTATTCAGTCAATACAGGTCTCTTGTTACAGACCTGAGAGGTATTCAGTAATCTGATTCGCCATGATCATGTTTCCAGCTTTGTGATCACCAACCTCGGGGCTCGGGGCTCTCCTCCCATGTGACATGCCTTCATGTGACTGGAACTCTATTCAAGTAGACGACCAACTTGCTCAGTAGTCTGACTACTGAAATACTGAGAGTGAACTTTCATGTCCCTTTGATGTTTACAAATTAAATTAAAATGAACGTGAAGCACATTGTCACAGCAGAGTATGTCCCACATTAGGACACAAAAGAAGACCTCATCAAACACCAAAGAACCTGCTTTAATTTCTAACGCTGTATATGCTATTAAGGAACTTAAAGTAATGAACAAAATTGGTCACATTCTAGCATGTTGTTGGTTTCCGAATGCCTGAAGTACCTCAGGTTTGTTTGTCTTGCTATGGACCTTTGTCCATTGATTGCAGCTTTGTAGGTGAACTAATTAGATCCAGGTTAAGTTGCCTGATTGACACCCGATATCCTTGCAACACTTTCATTGTCATTCAGATAATAATCTTGTTCAGTCTGGCTGTGCTAATAACTCGGTAATAAATCACCATATTAGGTTGTTAAGACCTTGAGAGGCTAGCAGTTGGTGGAACAATTTCTTCAAGTCACGGCCATGCAGTCCATGAACTGAGCCCTTGGTCTGTGAAGCCTCGGTTGACATCAAGCACTCGGCCTCTTTTCGTACCGCATCACACAGTGGTAAAATTTACAAATAATTAAATTTACATAAGTTTGCTAGTTTAGGCAGGACTGCCTGTTTAGCAATAACGAAGGGCAACTCTGTAGAAGATATTGTTTGCTGTGAAAATGATTATTAATTTCTAAACTTGCCTTATGAAGGCTATAAATAGTCAGGCTATTAGATTTATGACACAGTTTTCCTCTGTAAATGAAATTTCTTGATTTAGTATCTGTTAGTTGTGTTTATTACTATGTGGTAACCATGGTAACTGGAATCAGTCAGGACTTAGGGTGTCATGGATTATAGTGATTCAAGTATTGATAAGTGATCCAAAAGTGTCAATATATGTTGACATATTGATTAATAATCATATTTATTGTTCTGTCGGTGTACAGAAGACACAAAATTCATCAATTTAATGCTAAATATAAACTGACCTTGTCCATTATGTATTTGAAATGACATTTTCTGCTTTCTTCTTGTTCACACCACCCATGGTAATATGAATAAATGTCTACATTTGTGTGGCAGGAAATGTGTGAACCTATTGTTGATATTCATACAGTTGTATCAACTCTGCATTAGTGTTAAGATATAATAATAATCGACAATGTTATCTGTAATGAGGACATGAGTTATTAATGGAATTTTTCTGATTTTATTGCTCTCCCCTGAAATGTTGTAATTGCCTGGTTATAATTTTTTGTTTCAATAAATGCATTCAAAACACATTGTTGAAGTACCCCTCACCTTATACAGATAACCTGTCTATAGACTGCAGGCAATCTGTAATGAGTCATGTCCAATAGACTGAAGACCCTGAGTAGACTGAAGGCCCTCTGTGACTAGTCATGTCTAGTCGACTGTAGGCCCTCTGTGACTAGTCATGTCTAGTCGACTGTAGGCCCTCTGTGACTAGTCATGTCTAGTCGACTGTAGGCCCTCTGTGACTAGTCATGTATAGTAGACTGTAGGCCCTATGTGAATAGCCATGTCTAGTAGACTGGACACCCACTGTGACTAGTCTTGTTCAGTCGACTATAGGCCCTCTGTGACTAGTCATGTATAGTAGACTGAAGGGCCCTCTGTGACTAAAGTACTGTCGGAAATGTTAGAAAAATGCTTTTTAGCCTTAATATCTTTATAAAGGTGATAAATGTACTATGTTGTCAATATATCAACTCGCCTATTGTCTACCCTAATTTTTATTTCAATCGATTTAACATTCCCATGCATTTATAGAGCAGTTTACAGGAGAGAATTTGGTACCAAAACAGAAACTTAAGATTTTTTCAGAGTTCAACAACAGAAATCTGAAATAGTCTTTACATTTATGCTAATAATACAGGTGGTGTAAAATATGAATTAACGTTTATCCTAAAAAGATAAATGTTGAATGTTTGTGTTACTTTACTAAAGTATCGTTTTCTTTATTGAAGAAATATTAATATAAATGTTAAGTCTTGATAAATAAGTTTCCCGTCATGCATGCACATCTTTATCACAGCGCCCACTATGGCCAACGATTTGCAATTCCATTGTTGCAAAGATTTATAGGTTTTTCTGCTTAAAAGACAGAGGTAAACCTTTCATTAGTTTAGAAAGGGTTTATTACAGAACTTGTAGAGCTGTTGGCATGTCTTACCAACAAGTTTACAATATTGTAAACAAATCAGACAAGACAGGGACCGTCTCAAATGCAAAACCGGGACGTAAAACCATCCTTGACAACTTTGACAAGGAGTGCTTAGACGGGAGGTCTACAAACTTTGTGAGAAGAAGAAAAATATATATATTCTAAAGAAGCTACACCAGTGACTTCATTAAATCTTTGGCCAATGTTCACAACTAGATTAAACTGACCTAATTACATCCATATTTTTCCAATGAAATATACTGTTGACATGCAAAACATTTATTAAAACGTTGCACATTTCTACAAGCAGTCGATCAGATAACACAAGTGATAGGATTCTTTCCAATGTACAGTAATTTGTATGTTTATTTCAAAACAAAACACATACACAAATGATCCCTTACATAACTGATAAATGATACTCCCATTACATATTCAACATTTTGCAGAAAACATTCTATTGAGATGCATGTCTCAAAATTGTATTCCCTGTCGATAGTGCTGATGACGAACACAGGCAGTTAATGTTTGTTTCAAATAACGTCCAACTACCCCTTTATTTTTTAAGTTTTTGTATTTTCATCAGTAAAACACATTTGTAGAGCATGTCTCAAAATTTATTCCCTAAATATAGATGTGAAAAGCATTTTTGTTTAAGTAACTGTAATACCTCGAATTTTAAATATAAGTCATGTCTAGCATTTCGACTGTAGGCCCTCTGTGACTAGTCATGTATAGTAGACTGTAGGCCCTATGTGAATAGCCATGTCTAGTAGACTGGACACCCACTGTGACTAGTCTTGTTCAGTACACTGGACACCGTATGTGACTAGTCATGTCCAGTAGACTGAAGACTCTCTGACTAGTCATCTTCACCAGAATGAAGACCATCAGTAGATTGTAGGCCCTCTGTCTAGTCATGTTCAATAGACTGCAGACCCTTGGACAACTTGTGTCAAGTTACAGTAAGCAGTAAGGTTGGGACAATACAGTCCCACTGTGCATCAGATACGTATCATGACACCTTGCTAACAAACGTATTTGCGTCTTGATGCTTGTTGATGCTTTTATCTGGGGTGTGTACACCGTATTTTTCAAAGACAGGATGGCAAAATTGTTGCCACACTGACAATTTTACAGTTTGTAGGACTTTCATGCTTGATCATCTTGCCTCTTTACTCCAAACTGACAATCTGAAATGTCTGATGATTGGACATGATTACCCACTTAGCCAATCAAACTATTTGGCTCTGCTGAATCACCAGAAGGACGTAACTCTATATGAACTGCATTGATAAGGTTTGTTAAGTCAACTGACAATGTACCAGTGTTAATATCAAACAATGGATAAGATATTTTTGTTTTACTTCTTATCCTTCTTATTAGTGTTTGTTTGGTGATGTTAAGGCAAACATGTGGTAAGAAGGAATTATTTTTCTTTGTATGACTGATGGATACCTGTATTACCCAGTATTAAACTCACAGTCACTGTGCAGAGGTTGTTCTCCCCATGATCTGTAGTAAGAGAACTTGGTCTCACGGTTGACATGAGTTAGACAAGTCTAACATTCCACCATTCCTTGTTTCAGTGATTGTGAACCCTCGTTAACCTGCACCACACAGTTATGGCTACCCGCTCACCTCCCTAGAACAGACAAACAAGTGGATTACTCTGACAAACAGTGCTCCTAATCTTCAGTATTTGGATATTTGTGGCTGTGCAAGAATGGGCTGAACAAGCCTGTTGCCATGTGTGTGGGATACCTTCTGATTACCATGGATACTGTCTTCGGCTTTACCCACATACCAGCTGGCTCAAGGCTTCCAGCAACAAGGTAAAACACTAATTAGACTAATTATATTGTTGTACTGAAGGAGGTTCAGATTAGGGGGTGTCTGATGAGATGACAGTGGCTGAATCTAACGATGCAAGTACTCGGTCTTTGTTCTAGATCAGTGATGGATCTGGAGCATGCCGTTGCTTGGCACACAGAAATCTCAAATGTCCCCAAATTCCACCCCCATGGGACCATGTTCTCTTCCGTAAATCCCCATATATATAAATAATTGCTGAGACATTTTGAGTGTTGAAGTGTTTTTGTGATCTCATTGACATGTAAGCCTCACAGTGCAGATTATTCACAATTTCAGTACTTTTAACTGATGAATCATGGGAAATTTCAGTGTTGCTAAAAACCAACCAGTATTTGTTTGTTCTTTATTATTCTCAAGAAAGATCCATTTTAAAAATTAAAACTTGCTTCAGGTTTATGTACCCTGTTTTTGATGAATGTCCCCTGAGTTTCCAACACAAGGGCCCATTTGCCCCTGTCATCCAATTCCTAGCTCCATGACTGATGACCATGATGTTCGGATACATCAGAGGTCCTAGGAACCCCTTCACTGAATGGGACATGACTGATGGCCATGATGTTGGGACACATCAGAGGTCCTAGGAACCCCTTCACTGAATGGGACATGACTGATGGCCATGATGTTGGGACACATCAGAGGTCCTAGGAACCCCTTCACTGAATGGGACATGACTGATGGCCATGATGTTGGGACACATCAGAGGTCCTAGGAACCCCCCCTTCACTGACACATCAGATGGGAACCCCTTCACTGAATGACTGATGGCCATGATGTTGGGACACATCAGAGGTCCTAGGAACCCCTTCACTGAATGGGACATGACTGATGACCATGATGTTGGGGGACATCAGAGGTCCTAGGAACCCCTTCACTGAATGGGACATGACTGATGGCCATGATGTTGGGATACATCAGAGGTCCTAGGAACCCCTTCACTGAATGGGACATGACTGATGGCCATGATGTTGGGACACATCAGAGGTCCTAGGAACCCCTTCACTGAATGGGACATGACTGATGGCCATGATGTTGGGATACATCAGAGGTCCTAGGAACCCCTTCACTGAATGGGACATGACTGATGGCCATGATGTTGGGACACATCAGAGGTCCTAGGAACCCCTTCACTGAATGGAACATGACTAGGAAGTTGTTTATCATCAAGTCAACTCTGGTCATAAACCATTTGTGTTAATTAAATAGTTAATGCCTTAAGTAGTGTGTAGTGAAAAGTTACCTTTCACACCCATGACATAATATTTTTGGTCAAAAGGCAATTAAGTTTTTGGGCCTGGTTTATTGATTCACATAATGGAAACTGGAAATAAAGTATCTTTTCTGAACAGCATTATTTCCAGAAATTTGGAAATTCTACTGGGATTTTTGTCAAAAATATTTTGACCAGACAGGTTCATTCAAAGACATTTTTGGACCACCAACATGTTGTAAGAACAAAAGCAAATTCTGTAAACCAGTTGAAAAGCAAAATAATCCCCCGAGGCTGTTTGATATATACTCATGCCAATAATGGTTGTCATCCACCAGCCTATTCCTTAAATCAGAGGGATTGACAACCATTATTGGCATGAGTATATATATGGTATTTGGTCAGCACCTACATCACTCACTGTGTGTTGGTCATGTAGCCATGTGCTAGTCTGTATACCTCTACAGTAGATTTATGTTAGTTTGTGAGTTGTGCATAAACTTGCATGGGATTGATTGTGTTGCATGATATTTGAAAAAGGGATCCTCTCGACGAAATTAACGAAACTAGTAACAATCTTCCATTTGTCTTGGGTTTACCTTGCTAGGTATCATGCCTAAGTGACCATTGTTATTTGTGATCAATGAATCAGCGTGCACTTAGTTTCTTTATGAACTTCATGTGGAGTATACAACCCAAACCTGTGAAGTTCGAGAATGTTACCATCTCACCTCACTGGGTAGCAGTTTAGTACAATTTTTGTCACATTCACTGGAGAATAATCTGAGAATCTTTCCAGCAAAGATAACTTTCTCTAGACATTCTTGCTTCCATGTTTGAGAGCACCAAGAGTGTAGGTGTAGCTGAATACTGATGTGAACGTGCCAACACTGCATATTTCTCCCAGTCAGCTAACATTCAGTGACACAGACTCAGTCACAATCTCCTCAGTTCATCTTAAATGATAATTTGGTTATGAAAGAAGCTGATGTTGACAGCAGTTATTGATGTTGTTAGCTCACGCCAATTCCCAACTGATGTTACTGCCTTGAATGTGAATGTTATGCATATTGAAGATCGCTCAAAGAAAATGAAATGCATATTTTCAACGGAGTCGCAGCAGGAACTTATAATTCAAATATTTAACAAATCAATATCAGAAATCTGGATAATTAATGGGGGGATTACCACCTGTCAGGTTCAGACGTTAGTGTGTGGATAGACTGTATCATGCACACATCATGGCAGACAAATGGCCTTGGGGCAAGTGAGAGCACTTCAGTGGTGTGCCTCAGTCTGAAACTACGTATGACATTACCATGGTGAACATAACCAGTATTTATGTAAACTTGATGACAGTCTATATGGCTTAAAGAGCAAGTGCAACTTGTGTTTTCCACTGACATAGGTTTGTCATTATTTTCATTGTCTTATGAAAATGGACACATGTCTTTAAAATGTGAGCTAGACTGCTAGCCTGAGACTACTAAATTGTGCTGAAGACAAGGGGAAATCCATAGCTAGTAGTCTTCATGGACAATAATTCTGAACCTGGTCTGAAAGCTTAAATGTTGCTTCAGTTAGAACTAAATAAACTGACAAATTGTAAACATTTAAAACATTTGTTGAGACCAGGATGAGCTTGCAACTCCCAGGACTAATAAGGTTTTCACAAGTCCTCGGGACTTTTCTGAGAGAAACAAATTTGTAAGTCCACTGACCCCAGGAATCGTGAGTGTGGGGGTACCCAGTGATGGGTGATGTCCTGTCGGAGGAAACAGATGGGCACACAGGCAGGCTTCAGTCAGTACACACGTAGACGTGGTCATACACAACTGTTTGTTGTGGAGGTGTAATGACGGGGAGCACCACTCAGTGACCCCACGTGGAACTAGTGTTGTCTCAATATTCACAGACATCATCGGTTTAAGGACTTATGATAGTCATCATGAATGTGAATCGGGAAATGTATACTGCTCAATCCAAGTCAAAGAAAACTGTGGTGAATCTGTTGATAATGTGTTAATATCTAAAAATTGGATGTAGTAAGCTTGTTTGGAGTAGTATATACATCAAAGGCTTTCCTCCCCAAGATCAGTCATGTACATGACAATGTATCTTAACCCCAACAGTATTTTGAAAAATTTATGTCAACTTACAAAAAGGAATGAAGTAAAGAAATGTGGTGAAATTGTTATTTAGGGTGTTTAGTTTGTTATAAGTCTGGATGTAAATGGACCCATACATAATCATAATCATAATCATACCTTTGATTACTTTGTGTTATTGTTTGTTGTTGCTTTGGTCACAATGTGTGAAGCCGATGTCTGGTGTCCCCCCGCCTTGATATTGCAGGAATATTGCTAAAAGCGGCGTAAAACCATACTTATTCACTCACTCGCTTTGATACAGGAAGCTTGTGGTGAATAGTTTGAGGTTTTCGATCAGAGGTCTAAATTGCTAATTTCATAATTTCATTTTGACTATAAAAATCTTATTAAACTTTTCTAACAAGATACAAATATGCAGGATATTGAGAAAACCTATATTCAATGTATTAGCATATCGATTTGTTGTATACCATTACACCGGTAATGCCTTGCACATCTGTTCAGCAGTGTTCCACATTTGGGCAAAAAATTAACATGGTGAAGATTAATGAGGCAGTTATAATACATTACTCAATATAGAAAAGGAATCAGGCCAAGCCACAAATAATCTATAGAGTTGCTGACACCTGAAGTATTGATATTGACACATCAATTAGTATTCTTATTGATCACTTGTATGACAGAAACTGAGTCCTGTGTCACACACATGTATCTCACACTTCTGGCTCAATGCCAGGTAGACGTGATTTGTACATGATGTATAACAACCCAGGTGTGTGTTCGTGAAGAGGATGGAGTTTGGACCACAAGGGGGTAGCAATACATGCTTATATACAGTGTGCTGTCAGTTGACTGGCAACATGTCACTGCTGAAAGGTTGAATTGTATTTAGTGATGCCTGACTAGTTAGTAGAAAGCTTCAGCAGTTATTTTCGTATATTTTTTCATAATTTTGTAGATTTACTGTTCATAATTATATTGGACATGCTGCACATTATATCTGGGAATTTCTTGTAGTTGTATTAGCAGTGCATGTCGTTAGCTGCCAGATGTATAAACTTGTTAATGTGCATCTGATTGATTACTCATGTGAAGCGAACCAATCATAGTGAAGGTTGCAGTTAGTTAAGTCAGTGAAGGGAGATACAGCACTTGGTGTGTATTGTTTTGGAATTATAATGGTGTTACATGATTCACAGGATCTTAATGGAAGATATTTATTTTAAGAGAAAGGATAATGACATCAGAAGAAAATGTTGAAAATGTTCATTATACCAGTTATTGTGACACCATCGCTCAGAGATTCATCAATGTTTCATGTCCTCATCAAAGAGCACATTCTTCGGAAGCATGACCCTGTCAGGTGATGGCGACTTGATCATCTCCAGTAACACTTGAAAAGAAATACTGATAACTAGCAAATATCAACCTCGCCAGTGACGAAAATACCGCCATTGTACATGGTGTGCATATCTGTCTCGTGTTATTTTTAGAACACAAGTCCTGCCTGGTATTTTCATTACTCTTTCATTGTTAATTTTTTTTGTATCCTTGACGACAATGCAGCAAAGTGACAGAATATATATTAAAGGTGTGACTGGACGCTTAGAATAACACTTAGTCTCTGAATATATATAATTGT